CATACAGAACAGACCTAAACTTTGCCCCTCCACTGGCTGTGTGACCTTGGGCAAGCCAATTAACTTCTCTGAGCCCTACTTCCTCATTTGTTAAATAGATAATAATACCCATCTATTGTTATGAAAGCAAAATAATGCGTGCAAAGCACCTGACACCTGCTGTAAGTTCCTGCTGTCTAGGGACCACATCTTGCACATGGATCCCCCTCAGGCCCTAGCACAGGGCCCAGCACCAGGAGGCATTCAATTGCTGGGAAAATGAATCCCTTCCCCACCCACCTTTCTGCGCTGGTCTTCCTCCCCTGGTGCTAGCAGACAGCAGCATCTAGTGGACAAGCTCTGGAACTGCATTCTGGCCAAGGGCCACTCGCCACGCCGCCGTGCAGTCCTTTAAATAAACCTTTTAAAATATGCCCTCGGCCCTTGGACAGGTATTCATTACGTGCCTGCTGTGCACAGGGCACTGATCCAGGACCTTAAAAAATGAAGCAAGAGATACAAGATGACCATAGAGGAGTTCAAGAAAAATATCACAAATAATTATAACCTTGTCATCAATACTCTATCTTAAAGAAAATATAAACACTTTGTAGGGGGACTTGGCACACTGGATAGGGTCTTCTCAGGAAGTTTTTATGATTGCAGGAGTGATTTTGAAGTGGCTGTTACATGTCAATGACTCTCAGTTAACGCCAAGGCAATAAAATGAAGGCTTAGGTCAAATAGGTTCCGCCATGAGTACGCTGACCCCAGCTCTCCACGGAGGGAAGCGCGAGTGTTTGGCTCCAAAGCCCTACTCTGCCTCCACGGTCCACATCCTTCCCCTCCAGACACAGAAGGGTGAAGAGGGTCTAGAGGTGGTATGGAGCACATCCAACTGGAGGAATCAGAAGACTTCATGGAAGAGATGGCATTTCAAACGGGCTTTGGAGAAGGAAGGTGAAGATGGCTTTGAAGAATGAATGGGGGAGTAAGGGGGAGGCTGGGGTAGGAAGTGCATCCCAGCACAGCAGACCACAGCGTACAAAGTCAAGTAAGGGGGATGAAGCTGCACAGGGGAGGGGGTGGCTAAGGCCCAATCATAGAGGACCCCAAAAGACAGGCCAAGGAGGCTGCATTTTATAAAATCAGGGGACCCACTGAATAAGAAAGTAACCTGATCTGAGGGGAGCAGGGAAAAACCAGGCACCCAGAAACTACTTAGGTGGCTACTCCGATAATGGAGACTAGAGGTGGTGGGCGCTGCACCGTGAGGAAGTGGAGATCATGGGTGCTGGAGATTCAAGGTTGGGAGGGGAGGCAGGGGAGGTTTGGAACTACATAGCTGTGAGTTAAATGGGAGGACCCAGCAGAGAACTAAGGGCATGAAATCTCAGGAAGGTAATAGGGAGAAAGGTAGATCTGTGACCAGAATGTAGACTTGACCAGGGAGAGTGATGTGGGCAGGGGACAGGGACAATGAGTCTGGTCCTCAACAGGGAGTGTATGAGTAGCCAGCATCCACGTGGAGATATGGGACCAAAGTGCAGGAGAGGCATTGGAGGGAAAAGAGACAGGGACAGTCACTCACACATGCAGGCACAAGTCGCAGACCTGGGAGAGGAAAACAAAGGCAGTCCTGGGGGAGATGGGGCAGAGGGTAGGTGTCACCTGGACTTTATCCACCTCCCTCTTTTTAAAGCTTCCTGAGGACAGAAGAAAGAAGAGGAGACCAAAGACAAAGGAGGGGCCTTTGGGGGGAGAGAACTAAGAGGCCCTCCTGAGCACCCAGCAGTGTCACAGGCCATGGAGAGGTCCAGGGGCAGGCAGGGAGGATCCGTTGCATTTGTGGCTGGGGGCTGTCAGTTTCAGGGGCAGACGTCAGGCTGCCAAGATTTAAGGAGCAAGAGGTAGAGGGGCTGGGGGCAGCTGAGGCTCCCAGGAGGAGGGAGAAGATGGTAATCGGGCTGGACTTGGGTGAGGCAAGCAAGCGCTCACTCTTCTCACTCTTGGGGGTCCTGCAAGAGGCCCTGGTGAGGAGGGGCAGAAACCCAGAGGCCCACGGGGAGGAGACCCTCTGAGACTAAAGGAAAAGAGATAACCTGGTGAGAGAACTTAGAGATCCAGACCAAAACTAAGACCCTGCGACCTCCACATCCCTAACAAACAGCGGTGGCTAGTGGCTGGAGGGGAAGGGTGGAAGCAGGGGCTGTGGACACCTAGAGAGACCCAGAAAAGCCAAGGACACCTGGGAGGGAGAGCGGACTTCCTCAGGGGGCTCTAGTGTACTGTCCGAAGAGGGGGAGTCTCAGCTTCCTGGGAGGAGCCTGGGGGAAGCAGGGTCAGACTCTCCCCTGCTACTGCTATTTGGGGACACCTGTGGCCCTAGCTCCGGAGGAGCCATACCCCACGCCCACCCCAACCACTCCATTACATGCTTCCTTCTCCCAGAAAGTCTAGGCAAGTTTCTTCTTTCTGGGATTTAGTTTCTGTGCTGGGCTAAATGGTGGAACCCAAAAAGATCTGTCCATATCCTGATCCCCACCCCACACCCAACCTTATTTGGAAAAAGGATTTTTGTAAATGTAATTAAATTAAAGATGTCAAGATAAGAGTGTTCTGGAGTATTGGTGGGCCCTGAAGCCACAACCAGTGTCCTTATAAGAGATAGAGGAGGAGAAGGCCACATGAAGACACAGGCAGAGATTGGAGTTCCGCAGCCACAAGCCAAGGAACATCGGGGCCGCCAGCAGCTGGAAGAGGCGAGGAAGGAAACTTCCCCCAGAGCCTTCGGAGGGAGCACAGCCCTGCCCACACCTTAATTTTGGACTTCTGGCCTCCACAATTGTGAGTGAATAGATTCCTGTTTTTTAAACCACCAAGGTTGTGGTAAATTGTTAAGGCAGCCCTGGGAGATTAACACAGTTCCCTATTCTGTGCGTGACTAGAAGGTTTCTGGGGATGCTCCGTCCTGAGTCTCCCCACTAACCCTCACTCAGCAAGGAGGGGAGTTCCAAGTCTGGCCAAAAGGTACGTTTTTTAACTCACTGCCCCACCCCCTTCCAGGTTGAGGTTTAACCCTTTCACGTGTACAGGGGGGTGGGGAGCGGTGCAGGCAGGAGGGAAACCAAACTAACATCATCTGCTCCGCAGAGGAGACTCTGAAAGCCCACTGCCCCTTCCTCCTCCGCCCAGCACGCAGGCCGGCAGCCGGCGCCCAGCCTGGTCGAAAGGGCCAGAGTTGACCCAGAGCACGTTACTAAAAGCGAGGAGATTTTAAAAACAGGGAGTCTGTCCGCCTTTCCCAATTTCTCCTCGCAAACATCACCCCCTCTTCATGGCGATCCTCTCCCCACATCTCGAGTCTACCTTCTTCGTTCCCTTCTCCATTCTTGGTGTATAAGCTAAGACAGACACCCCTGAGCACAGGATGGAAGGCCCTCTCCCACCCCTCCTTCCTCCTCCCCTCAACACAGCTGGAGGGGGGAGGGGAGGTCAGCAGGGTTCACGAAGGCCAGATGTTAAGGAAAAAGAGAACGGTGCCCACCCCACGCCCACCTACCCCACCCCCACCCTCACCCCCAGGGAAAGAAAAATGAAAGGAGACAGCTTTTAAACCAAACAAAACTTTTGTGGTCCAAAATGGTTTTTCTCAAGAATCTGCTCTATGCAAACAATAACAACTTTTTACAAGGCATTTTCACAGAAAAGGAGACAAGTCCTTCCCCAGTGTCGTATATGGGAATTGTTCCTCCCTCATCCCGTTTTAGGGGAAAAAGGGGGCGCTATTCACTAGTGCGGGCAGAAGGGTCACTGGGTCCCTTGATTGTTGGGCAGATCCAGCCCCCCCAGCTTCCCTTCCTACCTCAACTTGGAATGTCCCTAAGATCTGACCTCCCCTGACCTCACCTGGGTGGAGGAGAAAGCGATTCCACCCCTCTCTGACTCAAGGAGATCCTCCTACCCTGAAGGCTGAGGGCGTGATCCCGGCCTATCTCTCCCCTCCCCTAGAAAACAGAACCTCTGACCCCAGACCTAATCTCCTGGCCCTGCCCCCTTCCGATCCGTCAGATCTCTGACAACTCTCGCAATGCCTCAGGCTGGCAGGGGAAGCTGAAGGTACCTCAACCCAGGTCCCATCCAAACCCCACCTTTGCCCCTTCAAACCCCAGGGGACCTTGCGGTTGGGTCAAGAGACCTTTCATTTACCCCCTCTGCAAAAAGCGGCTTGTTTTGTCTCCACCCTTTAAAAGGGCTGAGTTTGGGTGTCCAAAGAATGGACTCACTCCTGCCCTCTACCTCCACCCCCTCCCATCCATAAATCGGTGGAGAGGACCTCGAAAGGCGACTTGTTTGGTCTGATTTTATTGATTTCTTCCACCTTCCATTACTTTCCCTGGGACAGTCTCTTGCCCCTTCCCCTGGCAAAGTCTGCACTTTCCCAGAAGAGAAGGTCCCTCAGCCCTTAAGAGTGAGGATTAAACTGGAAGAGGGAGCTGATTAATCAAGGTGTTGGGGGGAGGTCTCTTTTACCCACCAGATCTTATAAACTGAAAGCAAACAGGGAAAATTGAAGGAGGAACCTCCAAAACTGGACGAAAAGGAAAGGTTAGTGGCTGAAACTGAAGATCTCACCAATTAGGGGTCACTTGAGCTGGGGGGTGCCTAGAAAGAGAACAGGATGGGGGTGATCTTCCCCTTGCCCAAACTGCTCCCTCCCCATTAAGGCTCAGGTGGTGCTAGGGGGCTAAGGAAGGCCTGAGGGAATCAAAGGGTTAAAGGCCTGGACGGTGGGGGTGGGGGATACCCCCAGGGAGCTGCCAATCACCTCCCCACCCCCACCACAGCCCCCAAACCCCCAGGCTCCCACAGACACAGAAACAACCGGTTTGTCCATCACCGAGGTCTCTCCTCTCCCGCCCCCCTCTTTTTGGTCTTTGAGTGGTGGCCTCCTTTACTGCCACTGGGGTGAAGGCCCTGCCCCCAGAGATCCAAGAAGGAAGGGAGGAGGGATAGGAATCTGTGTCATTCAGCTTTTTTCTGTTAAGCCTCCTGACTCCAGCCCTTGGTTCTGCAAAGGATGAGGGGCGGGAATATCACCCCAACCACTTAGGTGCTTGAAGATCACTGTCATTTGAAGTCCCTCTGTCCACAGCCCATAAAACGTAAAGGAAGGGGACAGACAAACGTGAGGAATGGGGCTCTCTCGAGTCGGTACTTTGGCCATGGCCCCAACTTTCCCCCTTGGCAGAACAGGTCCCACGCTCAGAGTCCCTACACGTTGATCCCCCAGAATTTGAGGCCAGGGGGCTCAGGGACAGCAGGACCCCCCATCTGCCACCTCCACAGCGGATGGGCAGGCGGGGGCTTAGAGTCTCCCTGGAGGCGAAGCGAGGATGCCGGCCCTAAGTCTCCGTCCTCCCCCACCACCAGGGCCGGGGGGCAGGGGAAGCAGTTGAGGAGGCTGAACGTGCTCGTGGTGGGGAGCGTGGGCGCAGGACGGCGGGGCTGCGCGCTGCGCTGAGGGGGCGTTGGCCGCCGACGCTTCTTGGCGGCTCCCCGGGCGGGCCCTTTCGCTGGCGGCCTCTCAGGCCCCCGACGCAAACTAGGAGTGTCCAGGGCGAAGCCCTTCGCATAACACCAAAGTTTAGACCGGCGGATCAGACGATCGAAATGTTCCTGGCGGAGATCGCCTGGCGCGGCCGGAGCTGTGCTGGCCGTCGAGGGACTAGCGGCTGGTGCCTCGGGGGCGGCTGGCGGGAGGTTTCCATCGACTGTGGCTGTCTGGCCCGGCAGGGACGGCTCCGGCGCCGCCCGGGGACCAGCGGGCTCGGTGCAGAGGCCCACAGGTGGCGACGGAGGCCGGGAACTGGGCTCCTGAGGTGGGCTGGCGGCTGGGCCAGGCTGGGACTCGAGACCCGGGGCTGGCCTAGGCGGGGATGAGGCGAAGCTGGTCGTAGATTCCCGAGAGTGCCGGGGCGCGGGGCAGCGGCCCGGAGGTGCACAGGAGCGAGCGCCTAAGTGCGGGAAACTGCCTCCGCCCTCTTCCTCCTCTCCGGCGCCCGGGTACACTGCGACGTCGTCGGCATCTTCGGTGGCCGGGGAGTTCGAATCGCTGGACCGCCCGGCCTGTCCCCCAAGGTGCTTCAGGCCATCCGGGGCCCAGCCGCCAGTGCACAGGGGGGCGCGAGGGCCCAGCAGCACGGGTGTCCGCGCCGCCAGCTCCCCAGGCCCCAGGTCCAGAGAGGACGCCCGGGGTTTGGCAAGGGCATAGAAGGCAAGGGCACGCAGGCACAGCGGAGAGAACTCCTGGGTCCCCCGACGCGGCTTCCGGGGTGTAGGGGAGCAGGGCGACCCTCGTGGGGACGCCGGCACTGCCAGGCGGGCAGCGGGGCACAGAGTCTCCATAGAGCAGCCTGAGGGTATGCCCACTGAGGGGGCCCCGGTCCCAACGGCGGGATGCCCTGGCTGCCAGAAAAGCCCACCGGCGAGGGGAACATCGCCCCCCCTCGACGGGGAGGTCTCTGCTCACGGGCGCCCCCGGCCTGCAACCCGGGGCCGCAGAGCTCTGGCTCCCTCTTCGATCTCGTCACGCGGCCCTCCCGGCGGCCGGACTCCTGGGTCCCTGCGTGTCCCGGCGCGGTCGGTCGCCCTTTCTGCCGCCGCGTTCCCTGCGCAGCCCCGGCAGGAGCCCCTCTCCAGTCGCCCGAAACGCAAAGGCGGGGGAAACAAAGCGGCCGGCAGCCGCGGGAGGCGGGAAGGACCCCGGGCCCGGCACCCGGTGCCCGGGCCCAGGCGGCGGGGAGGGCGCCTTCCGCCCGCTCGGCTTCTTTCTTCCCCGCTGGCTCCCGGAGACCGCGTTATAGAGAACTGCCCCCTCGCTGCCCCAATACCAGCGCCGGGGCCGCGAGCCCGCCGCTGATTGGGCAGCACTGCCCGTGACGTTGGCCCGGACCCCACCCCTCCGGCGGCACCGCCCCCGTCCCCATTCCGCACACAGACACACACACGTGGACCCGGCGCGGCGGCGGCTGGGAGGGAGCGAGGGGGGCAGTGTGCGCGGGTGGGATCGAGAGGGGCCGAAAGCGCCGCTGCACGTGGCCCGGTGGCGTCCTGGGATTTAGTCTGCACAGAGCTTCTCATTTTTCCCTGAGCAGTCACAGTTTTTGCATCTGTAAAATGGGACTGTTCATATCTGCCCCCTTGGGGCTAAAAGAGCTACGCGAATCAACGTAGATGAATCTCAAAAACAATGTTGAGGGCAAAGATAAAATGAAGAGATCGTTGTTTACAAGCTTTGTGCAGCAGGGACTCCTGTGGGCCGAGAATGTTCCTTGCTTGTCTGTTCCCTGCCCCTAGAAGAGTGCCTAACACACAGCGGACACACAGAATGTTTGTAGAATAAGTAGTTAGGAATTCAGTGAGGGTGTGCAAGAAGAACAAAGGAAAAATCAATTTGGAGGGGGGAAGTATTATTACACCCAGGGAAGACGACAAATAGGTTTTCTCAGTACCTATTTCCATTTCTCCAATGCAGTATCTAAATATCATATCCCCCCTCTTAACTAAATTCCGAGGGGCTGGCTCTACAGCCGCCGCTACCCCCAATCGCAGGACGCTGCCTCCTGAGGCTTGAGCTGCCAAAATGAGTTGAAGAGGCCAGAGGAGGGGACAAACAGATCCTCACTCTCATCTTCTCCAAGGAAAGCAAAGAAAAAGTGAATTCCCAATAAAAATCCTAATAATGCAGCACACACACCTCCAGCACATTGTCACCTTACGTTTCTTTAGTTTCTGGGTCGCTGACTGTTACATGAAAGTGTGTGATGCCTTTATTCTTTACTGTCTGTCTCTCCAGTTATTCTGAAAGTGAACCCATGAGGACTTTATCTTTTTTTTTTTGAGACAGAGTCTCACTCTCTTGCCTGGGCTAGAGTGCCGTGGCACAGCTCCCAGCAACCTCAAACTCCTGGGCTCAAGCCATCCTCCTGCCTCAGCCTCCCAGGTAGCTGGGACTACAGGCATGTGCCACCATGCCCGGCTAATTTTTTCTAGTTTTAGTTGTTTGGCTAATTTCTTTCTATTTTTAGTAGAGACATGGTCTCGCTCTTGCTCAGGCTGGTCTCGAACTCCTGACCTTGAGCGATCCACCCGCCTCGGCCTCCCAGAGAGCTAGGATTACAGGTGTGAGCCACCGCGCCCGGCCCGGCTGAGGACTTTGTCTTGATCACTGCTGCATCTGCCTAGAACAATGCCCAAGACATGATAGGTGCTCGATTAATATTTGTGAATGAGTAAGTGAGTGAATGAATGAATCCCCAGGATATTTCTCTCATGATAAAAATCAGGTTTTGAATATGGCTGCTTCCTATCTGCAGAAATAATAGAGATTGGTACAATGGCTGGGAGTAAAGGTGTGGAAGGTTGCTAGGAGGGCCACAGAGAGAAATAGCTCATTCTGGGCCAGGACAAGAAAGGGTTTCTGTAAGCGGACAAATGATGTAGCTTGCATGCTGGCTCTCTGTGCAGTGACAACAGAGGCATTGTTTTCCTATATGTCATCAAATAACATCTGGGAGGAAAGGGATAATGAGGGTCTGCCTCCCCCACCTGCAGAGACCAGAGGCAGAGCCCTGAGGTGGGGCTAGGGTTTGAGGAGGAGAAGGTGTGCTGTTCTATTGCTCCAAACACTCACTACCTGCAGAAGAGATCTTCAGGGCAGTTGTCATGAGGGGGGATCCTGGGTCCTGCCAGGCAGGATCTAGACTCCCAAGCTCATAATTGCCCCAAGAGCCCTGGCCCCACCCTATACACACACACCTGTGAGGAAAGTTCTGGGAGGATGATTATCTTCACAACTGTCTCTTCTGGGGGACAGTGCTGAGGACTCTGATCCCCGAGACAGCATTTCCAGATTTCTTTTGCTTGTGGGCTGAAAGATGTCTGCTTCGATCCAGCCTCTTCGCAGCCAGAGATGCCTGGGGAAGGGGCTTGGGCCCCAACTCCAGGGACCTGGACTGGGGAACTCCTTTTATCCCCTAGAGTCACATTCCTGTTTGCATTCCTGTGCCTCGCACAGTGTTGATAGAGGAGAAAAAGGCCATGAAAATTTCAGTATGAATAAATGAGTGGATATTACAAAACAGTGAGCATCAATGGCCTCTCCTTTCTCTGACTCCCAAAGCTGCCATCCCCCCTTGCGAGTTTGGGGGCTTTATTGAAGAGTCATTACTATTGAGAGTCCTTCCCTCTGCCTTCACTTTCCCTTCTTCCCCTTGCTCTAATGAGGTCCCCCAGAATATAGCGGCTGGAGTGGGGTGGTAGCGCTTTACAAACAGTAGGGGTTAATGTGAGTCTCTCTCCAGCTGAAAGGACCTGGGGGTCAGCCCGCCACCTTTTCAGAGGACTTGGACTAGGCGGGCCAGATGTACAACCCTGGGCAGGTCATCTAGACCCTCTGAGTCTCAATGTCCCTATCAGTGAAAAGGAGGCGGCAGTGGCTTCCTCACAACCTTGTCAGGAAGGTTGAAACTTGATGTGAGCACTCACCCTTACTCATGTGGGCGGCCCAGCTGGTGCAATTCCCATTGCCTACAGCAGAGGACACTCGCCCCCGTCCTCAGTTTAAGAGATGAGGGAGGAAACATCCTTCTCGGGAACCTCTCCTCCTCCCCGCAGGAGGAAAAGAGGGACAAGGCTAGATGCTGGCTCCACCTGACACCTCTGGAATACGGGATGGAAAGGGCCCCTCAGGACCTGGAAGCCAGCCCTTCCCCTTCCTTGGTCCATGCCTGTCTCACCCATGGCAGTAAGGACCACATTCCAGGATTTTGGAGCAGGGAAACTGCCAACTGCCCTTTCCCATGGCAAGGACCACAGGGAACTACACCGCATATGCCCAGACCCATAATAATTTCTGTAGCACTTACTGCATGCCTATCTCTGTTCTAACTCTATGTTAGATCCTATGAGACAGATACTATTTTTTTAAATGTACATACCACACATAACCCATTTAAATATCCAATTCAATGATGTTTAGTAAATTTACAAAGTTATACAACCATCATCATAATCCAAATTTAGAACATTTCTTTTTTTTTTTATTTATTTATTTTTTGAGACAGAGTCTGGCTCTGTTGCCTGGGCTAGAGTGCCGTGGCGTCAGCCTAGCTCACAGCAACCTCAAACTCCTGGGCTCAAGCGATCCTTCTGCCTCAGCCTCCCAGATAGCTGGGACTACAGGCATGCGCCACTGTGCCCGGCTAATTTTTTCTATATATTTTTAGTTGTCCAGCTAATTTCTCTATAATTTTTAGTAGAGATGGGGTCTTGCTTTTGCTCAGGCTGGTCTTGAACTCCTGAGCTCAAACGATCCACCCGCCTCGGCCTCCCAGAGTGCTAGGATTACAGGCGTGAGCCACCACGCCCAGCCTAGAACAGTTCTTACAAGTCACCCAACCCTGGGTGACTAATCTACTTTCTGTCTCTATAGATCTCCCCTTTCTGGACATTTCATATAAATGGAGTCAGACAGTAGGTAGTCCTTTGCATCTCACTTCTCTCTCAAAAGCATGTTTTCGAGGTTTATCCATGTTGTAGGACGTATTACAGTCTGTTCCTTCTTATTGCTGAGTAGTAGCTCATTGTACGGATATACCACATTTTGTTTATCCAATCACATTTAGGTTGTTTTCACTTTTCGGTTATTGTGAATAATACTGTTATGAACCTTGGTCTATCAGTTTTTGTGTAGACATTTTTTTTTTTTTTAAGAGATGGGTTTGTGCAGGCTGGACTTGAACTCCTGAGCTCAAGCGATTCTCCTGCCTCAGCCTCCTGAGTAGCTGGGACTATAGGCACATACCACTGCACCGGGCTGACATATGTTTTTATGTTGTAATCTTAAGTAGACAGTTAAGAGTGGAATTGCCGGGTCATATGGTACATTTATGTTTAACTTTTTTAAAAACTGCCAAGCTGTTTTCCAAACTGCCTATACCATTTTACATTCCTATTAATAGCCATGTTATAAATTAGGACAACTGAGGGAGAGAAGTTATGTGACTTGCCCAAGTCACACTGCTAGCAAGTTGCATAGCCAGAACTCAAACCCAGGTAAGCCGGCTCCTAAGCCCACAATGGGCTCGTAACCACAAGTCTGCCCCTCAGTGACAATGAATCTAAGAAGGAAGCCATTTCTTGACCCTACACACCCTGGCATGGTTGCCACCATTTTAGCCCTTCTTGCTTCCAGAACTCCCTAAATCAGCAGGGCTACAGCACCCTCTAGCATAAACCCACACGTTGCTCTGCCTTCTCTGGAAATGTACACCCAAGGTTAATAGCTTAAATTCTGGATTCAGATGGGTCTGTTTACATCCCAGACTCATCATTTTACCAGCTGTGTGACTTTGGGGCAACTTACTTAATCTCTCGAAGCTTTAGTTTCCCCATCTATAAAATAGGAATAGCATTTTCCTTCACGCAATTAAAAAAGTGTTTTACTATGGAAAATTTCAAACCTAGACAAAAGTAAACAGAGTAGTACAATTAACCTCCATGTACCCAGTCCTCAGCTTCAACATCTATCAACTCATGGCCAGTCTTCTTTCGTTCTTATCCCACCTACTTCCTCCTCTACTCACATTTTTTAAAAATCAACTTTATTAAGGTATGATTTAAATACAATAAAATGCACATTTTAAGTATACAGTTCAAATAGTTTTTTTTTGTTTTTTTTTTTTTGAGACAGAGTCTTGCTCTGTTGCCTGGGCTAGAGTGCCATGGCGTCAGCCTAGCTCACAGCAACCTCAAACTCCTGGGCTCAAGGGATCCTTC